CATGAACAATGGACATGGACAACAAAACTGGGGAGAGGGCGGGGAGAGAGTGGTGGGGGGAATCTGTGGGTGAAAAAGGAGAAATATCTGTAACTAAAATAAATTAATTAATTCAAAATAAATAGAAAACACATGTCGAGCAAAGGAATCCAGACACAAGACAGTTCACAATATAGAATTGTATTTATATGGAGACTTTAAAACTGGCAAAAGGAGCCCGGCCAGTGTGGCTCAGTGTTTGAGCATCGACCCTGCACCAAGAGGTGGCCGGTTGGATTGCAGGTCAGGGCACATGCCCAGGTTGTGGCCAAATCCCCAGTGGGGGGCATGCAGGAGGCAGCCAATCAATGTTCTCTCTAATCAATGTTTCTATCTCTTTCTCCCTCTCCCTTCCCCTCTCTCTAAAATCAATAAAGAAAAAAAAATTTATTAAAAAAAAGATTTAAAATAAATAAATAAATAAAAATAAAACAGACAAAAAGACTCTATAGTGAAATGATTCCGAAAAGTTTTGTGCGTAAGGAGCGGTTGACTGAGAAAGGCTCAAGGGAAATTTTGGGGGGGACAGAAATGTTTTATATCTTAATAGGGGTTACATGAGTATGTACATCTGCCAAAATTCATTGAATTGCACACTGAAGATTTGTACATTTTACTGGATGCTTAAACTGTATTTTGATGGTTTCATTAATGTCATACTTGCTTTCAAACAGGATTAATAATTAAGGTATGGATCAAACAAATGATTTAAAATTCAAAAATTAGCATTTTTGAGTGTTTGCTATGAACCATTAATATAGCAAAACACCTATGAAATAAGAATTATTACCCCACCTTACAGATAAATGAATTAGGGCTCAGAATGAAGATTTGTTCAAGATTACTCAGAAAGGAGAGAGCTAGAATTCTTCACCAGGTGAGGGTGAGGGAAATAGAAACCAAGGACAACAGTGTCATATTATAACTCAGCCTGAGTTTTCAGGAATCAAAGGCAAACAGGACACAACAATGAGAAGTGTAGTTTTATCACCTGACATAAGAAATTGTATAAGCTCAGCAGGAGGACCAAGCATTCTTCTGACACTTAGTTCAAAGACTGCAGAACTAAGTCCACAAGTCCTTGTGTAAGAGTCATGCAACAGTGTATTAGGCAGGAGTTTTACAAAACACACAAAATGTTTTGGCTAACTCTCTCCTTTGGCATTTCAACTGAAATCTTCTCTTTCAAAAATATAGCTGCCACTTGAACCAAGATTTGTTTCATCTATCCCATTTCCAATTAGTGGCTCAGCTTCGAGTTGGCATCTCTGTTTTAGCAGATGTAGTAGAATGACTGGGCCAAATGCTACCTCCCTTTTTTTGCCTACATGCCACTTTTACTGATGTACACAGGCAGAGCATAAGTACCAGGGGGCAAAAGCTGCCCAGAATATCTAAGCTGTCCTATTCATTAATGCCTCAATGAGTCAATAAGGCAGTAAAAATCTGTCAAAAGTTTTCTGAAAAACATAGATAACTCTGCTTATGGCTTAAATGGTCTTACTTACAAGCAAAAAGGATTGTTAAAAGCAATCACACAAGTATAGCTGGAGGGAGGAGATAGTCCTCTGCTCCCAGCATAGGAAATTACCTATCACAATAAAAGGAGTCACAATTTAAGAAAATGGGAAGATTTCCTATGAGGACATGCATAAGTCTATTCAGGAAGCATCTGAACTAGAGGCTCAGCACTGTGCTGGTCCTGCATCTGTTAACCAAAAAGCAGAGGTTATTGTTTCTCCTTGTGCAACAGTGCTAGAAATATTTGCAATGACTTGATTTAGAAAAAGAAATGGAGTAAAGCATTGGCTGGTCTGGCTCAGTTGGTTGACCGCTAGTTCAATTCCCAGTTGGATGCAGGCGGGAGGCAGTTGATTGATGTTTCTCTCTCCTTCTTTCTTCCTCTCTCTCTAAAATCAATCAAAACATATGTTTTATAAAAAGGAAATAAAAATGAAATTAAGTAAAGAGAGAGTAAGGAGAATGGCTTTAGCCATTGGTGTGTCCCTCAGATGCCTTTCTGTCCTATTTGGATATCTGAGGTTTATTTAAGAGGGTTGAGTTAATGACCTCAGAATAATCCTCCTCTAATCTTCCAGTGGGGAGAAGAGCTAATATTTTTCCCTTGTAGGATGTGGTGTTACATGAATACCTATAGAAAGGTTGTGATAAGTCACCACACCCCTCCACTACACTGTCCAATATGGTAGACACCAGCCTCATGTATTTTAATTAAAATTTTAAAATAAAATAAAAATCAAGTTCTAGTTCCATTCACTACATTTCAAGTGCATCAACGGTAGAGACTAGAACATTTATGATCACTGTTATTAAATACCTCTACTCCACCAAAGTGAAAAGGACCTTGAAGGCCTGGCTGCAGAATGTTCTGGTGATAATTCAAGGTTCCCCCCATTATAGAAGACCATGATACATGATAAAGGCTTTTGATCTGATTAAAAAATCACTGATGCTCAATTGGGGTGAGTGCCTACTTGTCACAACATCAGCAAGACCACAGGCAGCATCATGTTCTAAAGCAGCTGCATACTAAACACCCGGACCTTGACTTCAGGAAGCTGACAACTCAAGACACTTGTCATGCTCTTGCTTTTCTTCTCCACCCCCATTGTCCAAGCACCTATCTTTATCACCCTTCCCTTTCTCTGATCATCTTTTCCCTTGCCTGCTCACCAATGAAAGAACTCTCTGCTCGTTTATGCCTGCGTAAGGAACTGTGAGAAGACCTGTTACTAGGGCTGAAGACAAAAGTTTTGACACTATAAGTCTGCTCTTGAATAATGTATTTGTTTATTGTTATATATTTTCCTTCTGGGAACTAATGGCATCTACCAAGATACAATGAAACCTTTGGGTCTGCTGCAATGTCTTGCCAGAGGAACAAACTGGTAACTTTCCAAGCTTATCAAAATGCTATTGTGATGTCAAGACAGCTGCAACACTGTCTGGAAAGCCCAATTACAGTGGCTGGAAGATGATCTTGAAAGAATAAAAAGCTGTCCCTAAGTACGATAAGCAAGTGGAAATTTACAAATGTATATTTCCATCCTCCTTGTCTCCTCTGTTTCCAATAGGCAGCCAAGAAGCCAGTGGGGTTCTTTCAAAGGCTGTCTTTCCATTAGGACTTCAGTGGCATTGGCAGTGAAAGGTGAGACAGAAGGGCATGCAAAATGGCGCCTAACGCCACCCTGAAACCAAGTTTATTATGCTGGAAACATACTTGTTGCTATGCTAATGGGAACGGATTATATTTCTCTGGCTATTTAAAATTTTCCAGCACAAATGAGGCAGTGTAGCAGGGCTGTTACATCATGTAGCTTCCTGGAAGGGCTAGTGGCTCCTGTCCATTTACACCTCCTCCTCTTGCACATGTCCCCTTTCCTGGTGAGAAGATGCTTTTGCTTTTTACGAAGTGGTCACATTTGCTGGGTAAACATCACGAGTCTCAATTAGGATTTATAATAGCCAGATGTCATCAGGACTCCATAAAGGTAAAGACGCCTTGGCCATATTCCAACAATGTTCAAGTACTTGCCCCTCCATCTCTCACTGCCGCACAGCTGCTCCATCAACCGCAGGAGGAAAAAAAATAGGACCATTCAGCTTCATAGTTGAAAGGTTTGGCTTAGGCTTTTTTTTCCCTCCAAGTTAAATGGAGTTCCACTGTGAAGAAAGTTGACAGTGTGTAAAGATAAAGCTAGAGAGAGTGAAAGAGGAAGAATGGAAGAGCCTTGGGTTTGAGAAGTTCATCCTTTATTGAGGCGAGGTTAAAAACAAATGGTAAACATAAAACACTTGAAACAAAGAATAGCTCAAACCCACCCACATACCTTTGTGCCTCTCACATCTTCCCACTGTCCTAATTACTAACACTGCCCTGACATAAGCGAGCATCTTCTTACGGATCCCAAAGTCTTCTTCCAACCAGCTGGGCAAGTGGTCCAACTGCTCTTGCTCTGTTTCAATGAGTTTGTTCTCCTCTCCACAGGCCAAGTGACATTTTAACTTCTGCATAAATCTCTACAATGGTCTTTAGTGATTTTTAAGATGAAGGCAACCTTCCTTAACACAGTTTACTACCTCTATAAATTCTAGCCCTCCCCTAACTCCCTGAGAAGTTTCAGTTAACACCGCTGTCATAGGCTTCCCCAGCCCTGGCCTTCTCTAAGTCTCTCTTAAGTATATACTCCATCCAGTTTCAAGATATTTGTATGTGCCTGTTGCCTCTGTCTGGAACACCCTTTCTTCCTCTCTTCACCTATTTAACTGTGATTCAACCTTAAAATCCCAGACCAGTAGATAAAATACTTCATCAGAGATCCTTCTCAAATCCAATTAGGCTAAATCCTCTGTTATATTCTATGTTTTCTTTGTATCCTTATCTCACCTGTCTAATTGTTACCAAGGTTTCATTTGCATATTCAGTGTATAAATATTTGATCAATACTTTCCCCTCCCCTCCCTGACTAGCTTCACAAGGTCGAGGAACATGTATTTTGTGTTTAGAATGATATTCTTAGGTTCTACCTAGCACCTGGCACTTAGTAGTACCTCAAAAATATTTGATGAAGTAGAAAAAAAAAAGGAAGGAAAAAAGGAAAAGGGAGGGAAAGGAGGAGAGGGAGGGAGGGGCTGTAGGGAGGGGGTGAGGGAGTGAGGAGAGAAGGAGGAGGAGGGAGAGAAGGTGTGTGGGAGAAGGAATTTACCAGACATAATACAATATATTCCCTGATGGTAAGTGATCCAGCTTATGGCTCTGTAGTAACTTCTCCATAAAAAATGCATTGCTTAATCAAAAGCAGTTAGCAAAGATGAATTGACAGAGAAAAGTGGTGAGTATAGTAGGAAAAGGTTTTTTGGGTACAGCAAAGGGCACACTTAAGAAAAGAGAGTGTAAGTCACGCGCTCGCTTCCCCAAGATGGCGGTTGTAGCTTAGGAGATGGTTGTAGCTAAAGATGGTTGTAGCTTCGGAGAACTGGATTCAGGGAACGGGCGGCGGCTCCACTTAGGGATTCCTGAGGCTGTGTTTGTGGAAGATGTGGATTCCTTCATGAAACAGCCTGGGAATGAGACTGCAGATACAGTACTAAAGAAACTGGATGAACAGTACCAGAAGTATAAGTTTATGGAACTCAACCTTGCTCAAAAGAAAAGAAGGCTTAAAGGTCAGATTCCTGAAATTAAGCAGACTTTAGAAATTCTAAAATACATGCAGAAGAAAAAAGAGTCCACCAATTCACTGGAGACCAGATTCTTACTGGCAGGCAACCTGTATTGCAAAGCTTCGGTTCCTCCTACTGATAAAGTGTGTCTGTGGTTGGGGGCTAATGTAATGCTTGAATATGATATTGATGAAGCTCAGGCATTGTTGGAAAAGAATTTATCAACTGCCACAAAGAATCTTGATTCTCTTGAGGAAGACCTTGATTTTCTTCGAGATCAATTTACTACCACCAAAGTCAATATGGCCAGGGTTTATAATTGGGACGTAAAAAGAAGAAACAAAGATGATTCTACCAAGAACAAAGCATAATTCTGGCAGTGAAAAATGTGATTCGGTTTTCCAAAGTACTCCAAAGTTTATTCTTAAAGGTTGACATTAGTTTGAATGGTTTTTTTTAAACAGTAAGAGTGATAATTAAAACTTTAAAAAAAGAGATAAACACCAACACCATTTTATTTATTTATAAAAACAAAATTAGTTTCAAATATTTTATGGAATTATCCGTATGTTTATTTTTTTTTTCAAATTTTCAACAAAGTAAATGCTATTTTCATCTGTTATTTTTTCGTGTGTGTAATAAGAAAAGTCTTAGTTAAAATGGCTGAAAACTGATATATGCTATGTAGGTGGAATTCTAGACACTTCAGCTCAGTTTACTTTTTCTTCATTAGCTGATGTTACGCTCACTTGACTATTTGCAAACTTGTTTTCCTTTAGTACATGTGGGGCTTTACGGTCCTCTGTTGCCATTATTTATTATAATATTTTGTACTTTACAGGAAATGGTCATTTGCCTTCCTAAACGTTAAGAGGGCTATTATCCCCTATAAGTGCACAGTGTCTTTGCAATGCCAACATAAGGGAGATTTCAGCCAACATGAAATAACAAAATTAGCCACTCAAAACTCTTGGCTAAGGTAATTTTGTATTTCTTAGTAGTTCTCCCAAGCAGCTGAACAGGAATATTAAGATTAATAAAAACTATGGTTGAAAAGACTTAAGAGTTTTTTTGTTCATGATAAAATCTTATAGGAACAGTAGAAAATCCTCATGGAGAGCCAATAGTGAGTGATACAGATTCTGGTAAAAACACAAATGTATTATTCTATCTACATATAGTAAAAAGTGTACTTGTACAATGTTTTTTACTAGCATTTCATGATATTAAAACAGTGAAATTAAAATTGGCATGGCACCTTTTTCATGTTAAAAAAAAAAAAGAGAGAGTGTACCCTTAAAGTGTATTCATGGAGGTCTGGGCTGAATATGGCTTTTCTTGATTTGGCGGATTCTGGTTGAGATGAGCCAGACTGGATGTGTTCTAAGACACACGGCCAAAGAGAGTTGCAAGACCTTTCTCTTGAAGAGATTGATCTTGCTGAACTTGTCTTCATTCCGACACTGGAAACAAAAGGATGGACTACATGGCCTCTGCCAAGTCCTCAGACCCCCAGTGCAGTCCCTCAAATGCAACCAGTGATATTACTGAGGCAGCACCTTGAGAGTGTTAAAAGGTATACCTTCTAAAAATTAGATGAAATATGTTTACTCTATTGTCATTTTATCAGATAGGGAGCATTTTAGCTCACCAAATAAGTACAGCTCACCCAGTTACAGCTGAAGTACAAATGAAGGAGCCTAACACATTGCCTGGTATGTTATTCCATAGTAATTATCTAATTCATGTTCAGTCTGGTTCATTTTATGTGACTGTGGATGAAAAGGAGCTCAGAAATAAATCTGACAGAAAGCTTTACTCTGTGAGGTGATAAAATCATAAATTCCTCACTGGGAAGATCATGGTGTGGTAGTCACACCCCAGACCTATGAAAAGATGTATCGGTCCTGGACATTTGGCTCAGCAGTTAGAGCATCAACCTGCAGATCAGAGAGTCCCGGGTTCGGTTCCTGCTAAGGGCACGTACCTCAGTTGCAGTTTGTCCCCCGCTCCTGTTGGGGTTGTAGGGGTGGCAGTTAGTTGATGTTGCTCTCTCACATGGATGTTTGTCTCTCTGTCTTCTTCCCACTCTCCCTCCCACTCTATCTGAAGATAAATGCAAAAAATGTCCTCAGGTGAGAATTTAAAAAAAATAAAAATGGGTGCAATATGTTCCATTTAAATTCTAGCTTTCAGGTAAACCATAAACATGAATTTAATGAATGACTTTGTAAGTAAACTTGTTTAACTTAAAAAAGACTCTCATTTATTATATTCTTGAATATTATTTAGCAATTTTATTAAAAATACAAAAAATTTAAGAGCTATTTAAATTTGTTAATATGAGTCTTAAGTGGTTAATTATAGTATAAACACCATAAGTGTGTATACCAAAATAGACAAAAAATATCCTGAGAGACATGTTTAATCATTTGGATCTAATAGTGCAATGCTTATTCATTCATTTTGAGTCCCTTAGAGTGTAAATTAGATTTGATTTGCTTGCTCTGGTAGGCTTAATTGCCCCAGTTACAGCTGAAGTACAAATAAAATTGTAATAAATGAACAGATGTTTAACCTAGTCTTCCAAGATCTTTAATAGTCAATTCCAATTGCAATTGACATTCAGCAATTTAACAAGTCCTTCATGAAACGTATTTGATTATTAAAAAAAGCTGTTTGTTTCTGTCTGTGATGGAAATAAAACTATTGTGTCAGATGCTTTGGCCTGGTGTGTGTGTGTGTGTGTATGTGTGTGTGTGTGTGTGTGTGTGTGTGTGTGTGTATGGGTGTGTTTGATTTTTGCTTATCTCTTGTTAGGGAAAAATCCACACAACAATGAATGGACAGCTATAGCAGGTAGTTTGCCAGCTTAAAATATGGGACATCACATTCAAATTGATTTTACAAAGGAAATTTCCAGAATTATGAAATAATTTATAAAGAAATAAATCCTATTACATTTTCCACAACCATCTTTACTAATAGTCTTTTTATAGCCAATAAGAGAAGTGAATCTTAATTAAAGCATTAATTACAAAACAATAACCATTTCCAGTTTTCAGATTCTGCTGGTCATTTCCCCACAACCCATCTGGAAATAAAAATATTCTTATAAAACATGCATGGTATAGTACTGTCTTCTCCAGTCTTGTCACTTTAATTTAATGTGGCTGTTAAGATGCTGAGTAAGAGTTGTATGATCTGTTCTTAAGAATGCTTGGCAGAAACTGACACAAGGCATCTCTTGTGTTTCCTCAGAAAGGGAGTTAGAATGGATACTGTGTCTACTTTCATAAATGTATAATGTGAACTTCCAAAGAAATTCCCAGTTATCATACACTGAAGCCATGTTGAGACAATAGAAAAATTGATTTTCTAAAAAGACAAGCTTGTTGTATGGATATTGAATTGTTGGATTGAAAACCAAATAGACATTAAGAATAAGCTAATCCTGGAGCCAAAGCTCAAATATATACAGAGATCAGGGCAATGGCCTAAATGAGTTAAAGACTTCAAAAAATTTTTAATTTTTTTCATATTAAATGGCAACAACAAATATATGTAAACCAAGCACATCCTCAATTTATAGATTACTGTGTACACAAGGATCTAGCCAATCCCAGCATCTTACAGCTGATGACAGTGAGACCTACCACTTACTTGACAGTAAGTTTAAGTGACCATTATATCCTAGTAGTAAAACCATAAACCAGAACTCCAGAAGACTACATTAAGCACCTCACTTCCTATAAATTAGGGGACCTTAGCCAAACAATATCTCTCTTACCCAACCTTAACACTTTTGAAAGAGACAATAAAAATAACTGCTAGTCCAGGTGGGAAATGTTTGCTTTTCTTACTAGATGTTGTGTTCACCATTATGAGGCAAAGTGGAAAATAAAATAAAAATATAGAACGTTTTAAGCCAACTGTACATTTAGAAACTATTATTCCATCAAATCCTTTTATTTCTTCTGAGTCCATGTTGACTTAAAGCTCACCCAACCTGCCTTTATTATGGAGGACTGTTTTTTATGTCATTATGTAAATATGACACATAATTTCTTGCCATGTATAAGCTACACAGAGCCCAGAATTTACTGAGCCACTGTTAGATATTCACCTCAGCACATGTTGTGGTATGCCACAGGTAAAATGAACTAAGATTACATGTAAAGTTCTAAGAAGTGGGGGTTTAGCCCTGGCCAGTTTACCTCAGTGGTTAGAGCATTGGCCTGTGGACCAATGAGTCTCGGGTTTGATTCTAGCCAAGGTCTTGTACCTTGGTTATGGTTCATCCCTGGCCCAGGACAGGGTCATGCAAGAGAGAACCAGTCAATTTGTCTCTCTTGTGTCAATGTTTCTCTCTCTCTTTTTCTCTTTTTTTTTCTCTCTCTCTCTCTCTCCCTCCCTCCCTCCCATTCTATCTGAAGATAAAGAGAAAAATATCCTTGGGTGAGGATTTAAAAAAGAAGTGAGGGGTTAAAAAAGAAATTGATGTTTTTCTCACTTTAAAAATTTATTCCTCAAAAAATTGAAGCACTTTTGCAAATAAGGTCATATGATTTTTATTATTTATTATTATTATTTTGTTCATCTTCACTCAAGGATATTACCCATTATTTTTTTTTAGATAGAGTGGAAGGGAGGAAGGGAGGGAGGAAGAGAGAGAGAGAGAGACTTTGATATGAGAGAAACACATTGATTGGTTGCCTCCCACATGACCACAATCAGAGCTAAGGATCAAACCTGCAACCCAGGTCCGTGCCCTTGATCAAACCCTAATCAAACCTGTGACCCTTAAGTCTGCGGGCTGACGCTGTTACCTCTGAGCCAAACTGGCCAGGACAAACCTATGCTTTTTTTTTATCCTCACCCGAGGACATTTTTGCATTTATCTTCAGACAGAGCAGGAGAGAGAGAGAGAGGAAGAGAGAGAGAGAGAGAGAGAACTATTAACATGAGAGAGACACATCGACTGGTTCCCACCCACATAACCCCAAGTGGGGCCAGGAAGAACTGCAACTGCAACTGAGGTAAGTGCCCTTAGCGAAACCGAACCTGGGACTCTCTGGTCCACAGGCCGATGCTGTAACCGCTGAGCCAAACTGGCTAGAGCCAAACATATGCTTTTTAAGAAACGGTTTTCTAGTTTGCAAGTAATTCCCTTTGGTTTTATTGCACAATAAAATGAACCAATAAGCATCATGTAAACAAGGAGGTTAGAGTTTTGGCATTATGTGTGATGGGTAACTTTGTAGAAAGTCTCAGCTGACCTGCATGAATGAGGAAGCTATCCATAGGAATAGTCAAAATATAAAGCAATGGAAGAGTTCAATCACACCCTGAGAAAATGAGATAAAAATTCATGACATTTTATTTCTAGCTCCCCCA